AACACATGAAAGTCAATATCGTAGGCATTAGTGAGCTGAAATAGACTGGTATTGGCCATTTTCACTCAGACAGTCATATGGTCTACTATGCCAGGAATGACAAATTGATGATGAATGGCATTGCATTCATTATCAAAAAGACCATTTAAAGATCTAGTCTGAAGTACAGTGCTATCAGTGATAGGATATTATCTATATGCCTACAAAGAAGCCAGTTAATGCTATTATTCAAATCTACACACTAACCACTAAAGCCAAAGATGAAGAAATTAAAGATTTTTACCAACTTCTACTGTCTCAAATTGACCAAACACGTAATCAAGATGCACTGGTAATTACTTGTGATTGGGATGCAAAAGTTGGAAACAAAGAAGGAGCATCTATAACTAGAAAACGTGGCCATGGTGATAAAAGTGACACCAGAGATCGCAAGCTGGAATTTTTCAAGACCAATGACTTATTCATTGCAAATATCTTTTTTCAACAACATAAATGGTAACTGTACACATGGATCTTGGCAGATGAAATGCATAAGAATCAAATCAAATACATATGTGGAAAGGGATGATGGAGAAGCTCAATATTATCAGTTAAAACAAGGCCAGGGGTTGACAGTGGAAAAGATCATCAATTGCTCACATGCAAGATTAACCTGGAGCTAAAGAAAATTAAAACAAGTCCACAAGAGCCAAAATATATGACCTTGAGTACATCCCACATGAATTTAGCATCATCTGAAAAATAGATTTGACTCACTTCACAAAAGTGATCAAAAACCACACAAGTTTTGGGATGACATCAAGGACATCATACATAGAGAAAGCAAAAGGTGATTAAAAAGACAGGAAAGAGCCAATTAGTAGACAGACATGCAGGGTGAACATTTACACCAGGTAGATACACTCCTTAGGAAAAAATCTATCACAGGTGACCAGAAGGGCAGTATTTGCACAAGGAGACAGCTCAGAGATCAGGAATGCACAGAAAAGAAGGACACAAGGTAGCAACAGAGAGGAAGTGGGAAGAACACTGTCACATTGTAGGCATTGCAATCAATGTCATGAAACAAGATGTGCATGAACTGTTCTACAGAAAATAAATTTGCTCTGTAAACTTTCACCCAAATCACAATCAAATACATACACACACACACTTGTAAATTCTGCTCAACATTTATTTGGTGCCTACCAGATGTCAGGCTGGATGCCTTGTTCTAAGGGCACAAATTCATGAACTCTCTTCCCTGGCCTCAAGGAGCTCACAACACAACCCCAAGCAAGACATACAAGATGAGGTTGGCCCTGGTTATATGCAGGGTTTTCCTGTCCTGACACAAAGAGTCAATGGTAATACAGTGGTCAGCACCCTGCCAGAGGGCTCCAAACACTCCTAAAAAGAAAAAAGACAAGAAAAAAAAAAGAAAACACTAATATGGATGTCAATTGTTGTTGTTGTTGTTATGTGCCGTCAAGTTGGACCCGACTCATAGCGACCCCTCCTTGGGTTTCCGAGGCAGTATCACTAGGGAAGTAGATTGCCCCATCTTCCTTCCAAGGAGTTGCTGGTGGATTTGAACCACCAGCCCTCTGGTTAGCAGTCCAGTGCCTTAGGCACTATGCTACCAGAGCTCAGAAGAGACTGTAAACCTAGTTCTTGAGCAGATCAGAGCTAAGGCAAATGGAAGAAATGCTAAAGTAAAAAAACTGAGCAGAAAATTTCAGAGTGGCTCAATAAGACAAAGTAAATTATTATAATGAAATGTGGAATGACCTGGAGTTAGAAAACCAAAAGGGAGGGACATGCTTGGCATCTCTCAAGCTGAAAGAACTGAAGAAAAAAAAAAAATCAAACCTCGAGGTGCAATATTGAAGGATTCTAGTGTCATAGTGCCTAAGGCATTTGATTGCTAACCAGACAGCTGGCCATTCAAACCCACAAGCCGCTCCTTGGAAGGAAGATTGGGCAATCTACTTCTGTAGAGATACTGCCTCAGAAACACAAAGAGAGGTCGCTATGAGTCAGAAATGACTCGATGGCAGTGAGTTTTTTTTAATTTTCTTTTTATGGGCAAAATATTTATGATGCAGGAAACATCAGAAGAAGATGGAAGGAATACACAGAGTTACTGTATCAAAAAAACTGGTCAATGTTTAAGCCACTTCAGGAGATAGCATATGGTCAAGAATGGATAATATTGAAGGAAGAAGTCCAAGCTGCACTGAAGGAACGGCAAAAACCAAGGCTCCAGAAGTTAATTGAATATCCATTGAGATGTTTCAATAAACAGATGCAGTGCTGGAAGCACTCACTCTTCTATGCCAAGAAATTTGGAAGATAGCTACCTGGTCAACCAACTAGAAAAGATCCATATTTGTGTCCATTACAAAGAAAAGTAATACAACAGAATGTGGAAATTATTGAATAATACCATTAATATCACATGCAAGTAAAATTTTACTGAGAATAATTCAAAACCAGTTGCAGCAGTACATCAACAGAGAAATGCCAGAAATTCAAGCTAGATTCAGAAGAGGATGTGGAAAAGGGATATCATTGTTGATTTCAGATGGATCTTGCCTGAAAGCAAATACCAGAAAGATATGTTTTATTGACTATGCAAAAGCATTTGACTGTGTGGATCATAACAAATTTTGGATAACATTGCAAAGAATAGGAATTCTAGAACACTTAATTATGCTCATGAGAAACCTGTACACAGATAAAGAGGCAGTTGTTTGAACAAAATAAGTGGATACTGCCTGGTTTAAAATCAAGAAAGTGTGTATCAGGGTTGTATCCTTTCAACATACTTGTTCAATCTGTATGCTGAGCAAACAATCTGAGAAGCTAGACTAAATGAAGAATGCAGTTTCAGGATTAGAGGAAGACTCATTAACAGCCTGTGATATGTACATGACACAATCTTGCTTGCTGAAATGAAGAAAACTTGAAGCAGCCCAGCTCAACAGCACCTAACATCATCTTCCCATCCACCCACCCTCAAAAGAAACCAAACCAAGATTTTACAAATGAGTCTACCCAAAAATTTATGAACTGGATAATGTTTATGATATATAACTGCTTCCACAGACTAGAAAAGATAAAAGTTTTACTTAAAAATATATTTATTGCCCTAAAATAAACTTGACAGCAATTTGAAACAAAGATAACATAATAAAGGAAAATTATAGGCCAATCTTACTTTTAAGCATAGAAGTAAAATTCCTACTAAATGAAATTCAACCAAATTAATCCAAAGTTTATTCTAAACCATGTCACAATTAAGTCAGGCTTATCCCTGGAATACAAGAATAATTAAACATTGGAAATCTGATATAATTCACAATGACATTAACATTTTAAATGAGGAGGGAAAGGAAAAACAAAACATTTGATCTCCATCATCTCACTACATCAGAAAAATACAATTCCCTTATTAAGGAAAAAAATCCTAGCAAATTGTAAAGGAAAAGGTTCTTATCCTGATAATGAAATGAAGGGCACCAACAAAAAAGGTACCAAAAATGTACCAAATGTTCCAAATATGTGCACAAAATATGCTCATACTTATTAGAGAATCCCAATTAATGTTCCCCATAAATGGCAATACCTATGACCTTTATTATTTATTGTGTACTTGAGATCACCTTGCTTGCTGAAAGTGAAGATAACTTGAAGCACTTATTGATAAAGATCAAAGATTACAGTATGGATTACTCCTCAACAAAAGAAAACAAAAATCCTCACAACTGGACCAATAAGCAGCATCATGATAAATAGAGAAAAGACTGAAATTGTCAGGGATTTTATTCTACTTAGATCCACAATCAACACCTATGGAAGCAGCAGTCAAGAAACCAGACATTGTATTGCACTGGGCAAATGTGCTGCAAAAGATCTCTTTAAAGTGTTGAAGAGCAAAGATGTCAATTTGAACACTAGAGTGTACCTAACCCAAGCCATGGAATTTTTGATCATGCACATGTATGTGAAAGCTGGACAATGAATAAGGAAGATTGAAGTAGAGTTGATGTCTTTGAATTATGGTGTTGGTGAAGAATACTGAAAATACCATGGACTGCCAGAAGAAGAAACAAATCTGTCTGGGAAGCAGGGAAGGTGGAACATTCCTTGGAAGTGAGAATGGCCAGACTTTGTCCCTACTTTGGTCATGGTGTCAGAAGGGATCATTCCCTAGAGAAGGATGCCATGCTTGGTAAATTAGAGCATCAGTGAAAAAGGAGAAGACCCTCAATGGGATGGATTGACACAGTGGCTGCAACGATGGGCTCAAGTATAGCAAGGATTGTGAAGGTGGCACATCACCAGGCAGTGTTTTATTCTGCTGTACATAGGGTCACTACAAGTTGGAGCCAACTCAACAGCACCTAACAACAACAAAAGAGATCCTGGCCAATAACACATTTTTTACTGAAATAAACCATGAAATACAGTTTTATGACATGACTTGGGACAGAAACATGTTAAAGAACTGATAAAGCACTCCAAGGTCTGACTTATACTTACCTTTATCTTTTATCCTGCCACTACCTTGGTTTTCTTTCTCAAGTTATATAGTACAATATTAACTGCGCATACACACACAGAGAGATACCCCAAACTATTTCTCACCTCTCTGACTTATTCAAGGTGTCATATCTGCCTGAAATGTGCTCTTTCCATTTCCTCCCAGAAGCCTACTCCCACCCTTGCCAAGCTTCTTTCAGTTTTGATCCTTATTGTCATAGCACTTAGTATGTTGTATTACAAACCCAGTATGCCTCTTGCTTCTAAACACTGAGCTTCAAATATAAAGCTCATCATAGGAGTAGATCTTAATTATTTTTATAAACCTCACACCTAATACTGTGCCCAAGAAGTTGTTTTACAATTTTGAATCCCTTGTCATATCATGATGTCCCTTTTACTGCAAAGAAACACTCAAAATCAATACTAACAGCTGTAGTTCTTTTCCTTAAAAAATAAAAAAAAAAACTTACTTTCTTCTTTCTTCGTGAGTGTTTTTCAATGTCTGCATACTTTCTGAAAGACAAAAGAAAGTCAATTTGAAATTTTAAGAAGCCCAGGCCAAAATATATCTTTATAAACATTTAGTCTTTTACTTTTCAGAAAGGGCACCAACCAAGAGGAAGTAAGCTTACTGTCCACAGAGGTTCATGTCAACAAAGATTTCCCAGCCTTAATACTAGACAAGACCCTTAAGGAAGTCTGTTTGATTTCCTTTCTTGATATCTTTGAAAATCAAACAGATTCTCATTTGTAAGGGTATAATCTTACCCGAGGATGTCATATTTATAGGTACTTTCTGTCCTAATAAGAGTCTGGTAATGCCATGTTTAAAGCATTCAGCTGCTAACCAGAAAGTTGGTGGTTCAAACCTACCAGCTGCTCCATAGAAGAAAAATGTGGCAATCTGCTTCCATAAAGATGTAAAGCCTTGGAAACCCTATGGGGCAGTTCTCCTCTGTCCTACAGGGTCACTATGAGTCAGACTTGACTCCACAGCTGTGGTTGTTCTGCTCTAAGGTTTTTATATAATAGAGGAGGGGAAAAAATTTTAACTGTTGAAATTTTTGATAGCTACAAATCATTTTCACAAATGTTTCCATTACATAACTCTCACCATAACCATCTGAAGCAAGTACTATTATTCTCTCCATATTGATAAAGAAACCAAAGCTCAGAGAGGTTACACAATGTCCCACAGCTGATCGATGGAAGCACTGAAATTTAAATTCAATTTAAAACCAAGTGCTTCCTCTTTCAACCACGTCACAGAGCTCTCGTCTGTCACCTGCACCTTCATGCCCAGCAGCAATACAATTGCAGGCACCCCATTTCTAATCCTTCATTATTGAGACTCACTCCAATAATAACTATTCAAATCTGGAAGTGTTTCTACAAGTACCTTGCTGGTGGTGTTCACTGATGGTAAGTGGGCATCTATGTCTTAGTGACTACGAGTGACCTCATGTTTATCCCACACCTTGACGTCTTTGGCAGCAAAGAAAGATATTTAACCAATTGACAAATTCAGCTCAGAGTTCAACAGATGAATAGATGGGAGCGAAATAAACAATACATTAAAAAGAAGGGGAATATGTTGTGGGGAGCAGGGGCAACAAGGTCAACAGAACTGATCAGGTCTTGAGCAGCCCCAAATTGAATATATAGTTTACTATACTATGGGGACTATGAGCAATTTTTTAAGAAGTTGATAAAATCAAGAAATGCCCACACTTGCCAGACAAGCAGGCAGGCAAGACTCTAATCATCTGCCTGGATATCAAGTTGCTATAGGGGTATACATCCAGAGACAGAACAAAGGAAGCCTTTTGCTGCCTTGGAAAAGAAAATCTAAAAGCATATAAACCAGAATAGGAATGAGGTTAGCCATACACACTGTGCCCGCAGGGGTGTTTCAAGTTTTCTAACTATAGAATGTGCTCCATATGTGCAATAAAACACAGGGGAATGGAAGGCAGACCACCTTGCCCAGTATTTTCTGAAAATAAACTGCACATTTAAAATCATCTGCCCTACTCCACAATGAGATGAAAAATGGCACCTCTTTTCCTTTCCTCAAGATAATGACCATCAAAAAAGCCTTGACAGAGAAATAGCTACAGGAAAGGACTCTAGTAAGCCTTCAAATAGTTTCTTACACTAAATGTATTTCAAACACACCAATCAAAGCTAAGCAATCAAGGATTCACAATCCCACAGATCAGCTGGAGAAACTGCTCATCTCAGCAAGGCTTAGAAAACAAGAAAAACCATCAATGCATGAGCTAATGGTCAGTGCCTATTTTAAAAATTGCATCTGACAGAGGCTAATGAAAGAACATTTCAGTTACATCTGTCTACCTGAGGGAGGTAGAGCCAGGTAGTTACTAGTGAGCCTGCCCCTGCCCTGCGTGTAAGCTTGGCATGCCTGTCAAGAGAAATCCTGCCTTTCAAGGTAGGTGAAATATTAGAAGGGCTAGGAAGAGCACAGTATCCAGTGCATTTGAAGGTCTCACTGATGTGGTCACAGGGCACCACAAAGAGCACATCCTGTGGGTCCCTTCACCTGTAACCTACAGACTCATAGCACCCCAGGCCTGTCTATTTCACCAATACAAAGCCAATCAAACTCAGCCTCAGCCTCCATGCTAGGGCTTTCATTTAAAACAGGGAAAAACAGGATTTGCATCAATATATATTTTTGAATTTCAGTCTTGAGCTTAAACAGTAACTGGCATAACAGTGATGTACATTCAGGTGCACTTTAAAATCTGCAAATTACCTTCTCATTAATTATCCCAATTTATCTTCAGGAAAATTTTAATTTTCACCAAAGGAGAAAAACAGGTTCTAAAAATACAGCCAGGTAGATGTAGGAGCAAGAATCAGCTCAAATTTTCAAAATCCAGATTCCAAAGCTATCTTCTATCTCTGCTGCCTTTCATAACCCACCACTGAGCCTGGTCAAACACTCACACAAAGCATCAAAGCCCACATGAGCACAATCAGTAGCTGTGGCTGCTGATGGTCTCAGATAAATATCTTTCTGTATCTAGAAAATAAAATGTGAGAAAAGTTAGAGCATTATTTTGGATGATTTACTGTCCCACTGATACTTGGAAAAGGAAATATTGAGGCTTTACACACAAACATGACATAAGAAAACAAGATGGGTGGGACACTGTGAAACTTCTTTAAAGAAGCATCAAATGGAATTCTGTCCTATGAACATCAATCAGACCACCTCATTCTACGGCTTTTAAAGAACAGTCAGCTGGTTGCAACCAATTCAACAGCAATGCATTTGTTGGTTTGGGTTTTAACTGTGAGAAGGGCTATCCGAAAATAGAAATGAAAATGCACCATGTGCTATATCTGCATCAGTCTGTGACATTGGGAAAGCAATGCAAAGCTCAAATACTAAACATTTCTGCCTCAAGATAAAAACATTATGCATACCTCAAGTATGACTTTACAAGAGCACATTTGTTGTTGTTGTTGTTGTTGCTGTTGTTAGGTGCCGTAGAGTCATTTATGACTCATAGCAACCCCATGCACAGCAGAATGAAACACTGCCCGATCCTGCACCAGCTCCATAATCCTTGCTACACCTGAAACCATTGTCGCGGCCACCTTGTCAATCCATCTTGTTGAAGGCCTTCTCCTCCTTCGTCAACGCTCCACCTTACCAAGCATGACATCCTTCTCCAGGGAACGGTCCCCTCTGACAACATGACCAAAGTAGGTGAGACGAAGTCTGACCATCCTCACTTCCAAGGAGCATCTCAACCACGCTTCCTCTAGGACAGATCTGTTAGTTCTTTTGGCAGTCCATGGTACCTTCCGCATTCTTCACCAACACCACAACTCAAAAGCATCAACTCTTCTTCGGTCTTCCTTATTCATTGTCCAGCTCTCACATGCATATGAGGCAATTGGAAATATCATGTCCTGTGTCAGGCACATCTTAGTCCTCAAGGAGACATCCTTGCTCCTCAGCACTTGGAAGAGTTCCTTCACAGCTGACCTGCCCAGTGCTACACGTCGTCTAATGTCCTGACTGCTGCTTCTGTTGGCATCGATTGCAGAACCAAGCAATGTGAATTCTTTGACAACCTCAATCTTTTCTCCATTTATCATGATGCTGCTTATTGGTCCATTTGTGAGGATTTTTGTCTTCTTTATTTGAGACATAATCCATACTGCAGACTGTGTTCCTCAATTTTCATCAGTAAGTGCCTCAAGTCATCCTCACATTCAGCAAGCAAAGTTGTATCATCAGCATATCGCAGGTTGTTAATGATTCTTCCTCCAATCCTGATGCCATGTTTTTTTTCATATAGTCCAGCTTCTCGGATTATTTGCTCAGCATATAGATTGAATAAGTATGGGGAAAGGATGCAACCCTGACACATTCCCTTCCTGATTTTAAACCTGCAATGTCCCCTTGTTCCATTTGAACAACAACCTCCTGGTCAAGGTACAGGTTTCTCATGAGTACAATCAAGTGTTTGGGAATTCCCATTCTTCTCAATGTTATCCATAATTTGTCATGATCCACACAATCAAATGCCTTTGCATAGTCAATAAAACACAAGTAAACATCTTTCTGGTATTCTTTGCCTTGAGCCAAGATCCATCTGACAACAGCTATGATATCCCTTGTTCCATGTCCTCTTCTGAATCCGGCTTGAACCTCTGGAAGTTCTCTGCCAATATACTGCTGCAACTGTTTTTGAATTATTTTCAGTAAGATCTTGCTTGCATGCGATATTAATGATATTGTTTGATAATTTCCACATTCTGTCAGATCACCTTTCCTTGGAATGGGTACAAATATGGATCTCTTCCAGTCAGTTGGCCAGGTAGCTGTCTTCCAAATCTCTTGGCATAACCGAGTGAGTACCTCCAGTGCAGCATCCGTTTGTTGAAATATCTCAATGGGTATTCCGTCAATTCCCAGAGCCTTGTTCTTCGCCAATTCCTTCATTGCAGCTTCGACTTCCTCCTTCAGTACCATTGGTTCTAGATCATATGCCACCTCCTGAAATGGAAGATTGACCAGTTCTTTTTGGTACAGTGACTCTGTGTATTCTTTCCATCTTCTTTTTATGTTCCCTGCATCATTCAATATTTTGCCCTTAGAATTTCAATATTGCAACTTGAGGCTTAAATTTTTTCCTCAATTCTTTCAGCTTGAGAAATGTTGAGCATGTTCTTCCCTTTTGGTTTTCTAACTCCAGGTCTTTGCACATTTTATTATAGTAATTGGCTTTGACTTCTCGAGCTGCTCTTTGAAATCTTCAGTTCAATTTTTTTATCGTGTCATTTCTTCCATTTGCTTTAGCTACTCTTCCTCCACTCAAGGGCAGATTTCAGAGTCTTTTCTGTCATCCATTTTAGTCTTCTCTTCTTTTGTTGTCATTTTAGTGACCTCTTGCTTTCTTCATGGATGATACTCTTGATGTCATCCCACAATGCTTCTTTCTGGTTTTTGGTCACTGGTGTTCAATGCA